TTATATATATATATATATATATATATATATATATATATATATAAATAATTATTACTATTATATTTGATATTAATATTATACTATTATTAGTTATATAATATATATTATATATAACTAATAATAATATAATATATTATATATTATATATTATTATTCTTATTATATTTAATACCAATATTATACTATTTTAATAATAGTAATATATAATATAAATATAATATTAAACTAATAACTATATATATTAGTTCTATATTATTATAGCAATGCCAAGACTGGATTTATTTAAACGACGTATGATTTATATTATAATATATACTCCTAATAAGGAAGTGTACCTAAACATTATTCCTAGAAATATTTTTATAATATCAATAACTATGCATATACTACAATCGGACGACATTTAACTTGCAAAAGCTAACAGTAATAAGACTTTCCTGATTTCTCGTTGCTGACATAGTTAGAAAAGTTCGTACATTTCTCTGGGCGTCGAAAGCTCGTCGTAGACAATAGAAGAGAACATCGCATTATCAGAAAAACAAATGAAGAAGAGAGAGAGATTGAGAGAGAGAGCGAGAGAGAGAGGGGAAGAGAGAGAGAGATTGAAAAATTGAGCAGCCATACAAGTAGTCAAGCAAGCCGAGGATAAGCGAAAACATGGAACTTAAAAATTTCGCTGGAAGTTTTCCCAGCGATTTCGCAAAATTTCACAGAATTTCACAAAATTTCGCGACTTTTACGATTCTTTTAGCAAACTTTTAAAAAGCTGTTACTCGACCGTTCCGCGGCGGGTTCGGTGTTAATAGAAATTTAGCGCGGAAAATATCGCAAAACAATACCGGCGACGAAATAAATGAAGAAACGCGGAAAGATTTAAACGTCGCGTTTCGCTCGAGGAGCGTTTTTTTCTCTCCCCCGCGAACTCTTTTAGACCGCGCTTTTCCATATTCGTATTTTATTTCTGGTCCCATTCGAACGAATACGCACACGCACAGAGGCGCGGCCACGTACCACACAGACAGTTCGACAGACCCTGCTATCAGCACACATCTCCGGCATCGCATCTTCCATTTTCCTGTTTCTGTTGGCAACAACAATTTTTCTAGCCGCGTTGAATGTCAGCTCGCAGTTTTTTCCCCTCTGACACTATTAAATGCGTTTCGAATTTAATTAAAGTTCGCTTTTGATCCAGCCGAACTACCGCGCGGAGCCGGCCAAATTGAGAAAAAACGAACACACACACGTACATACACCAGGGAATATATTCTTTTGTTTGTGTTTCATCGGGGCACCGCGTTCGTTTATTCGTTTCTTTTCAAAATGGTAACCGTTCAATCAGTTTTCGGACTTGTCTCTTCGAGCGAAGATGTCGGACGGTTCCATTGCGCGCGCGCGCGCGGTCTCAAAACTCATCTCGCTGTCCAATTCACGAGTTGTTTGACGCGAGGTCCCATTATGGATTAAACCGTTCAAACTGTCTTCATCGGTGTCGGAGCATTTGTTCCGAGATGGAATAGAATTTCAGACACGGCGACTGGTAAATATTTTACTTTTCGATCGCGCACGCGTTTTTTTTTATAAATAAAATATTTCATTCGTTCGAAGGACTGTATTTTGATAAATGAAACGTTTTACTCGTTGCGACAAATCGCATCGAGATAATATTTCAAATAGTAATTTGTTTTAAAAAAACACCGAAAATACTTGTGCCGCAGTTCGGAATATTTTAATGTATTTCGTTTTCATTGAATTTATCGCGAACGAGTAGCGTAATTTTGTTTCGCTGAATTATTGCACTTCGTCGCGCAGAATTGATTTCGGTAATGTAAAAAAGGAACGAGGTGCTTTGCCTCTGCGTTATGAACGTAATAAAAAAGAATAAAAGACGATACGTTTCATTTGTTTTTTTTCACGTTACGCGTTATTAAAATGAGCGCTGTTTTATTGAATTAAATCGTTTCGGTATTTGACGGAACATAGCGCAACACAATCGCGTATGCCATTCAACAATACCCTCGCGGTTGTCCCTTTGTAATCGATTTAGAACAGTGCAGGAGATACTGTAACAGTTCTTTTTACATGCCAGATAATTGTGGTATTATTCGCGGATATAATGCAAATCAGCAAGAAACTATTAACGCGAATGTGTTGCGCATTAATAATTGGTAGTTTGGCTCGATGTCGGACCGCAAAGGATTAAATTAGTGCACGCGGAACGTGCAGATTTGAAACGAAGCTTTCGGCGATTATGGCTTTGTTTTAATTATCGTGGAATATTTCATTGTATCTAATATAATCTTAATCTTAATAATATAATCTTGTTGATGATCTCCAGCGATAAAAATTGGGTTCACGAATTTGGGGGCACGAAATACTTACACATATCTTTTATTTCGCAGTTATCGAAAATTATTATCGATTCCGGCGAATGAAAATATATTAAAAGTTAATCGAATGAAACGATTTTCGAAGAAAAATTGATACGGGAAAGTTGTGTGGATTTTCCAATAAAAATACGTGGCCCATTGTCCGAAACAAATTTCGCGTTGTACCGCAGAAAATGTAAAAAAGGCAAAATATAATAAAATGATCGAGAAATGATTAGGTTCTTCGGGTATTCGAAATACGTGGTGTCGCGTTTTAGAACGCGAAAAATGTAACAAAGGCAATCGAGCCGCGGCACTATAAAAAATGGAACAAGTGCGGGTAAATAAGCTCGGAGAGCAGGACATAAAAATATCACGCATTGTCACCTGATAACAAAACAGGAACTGAAACTTTGCGGCCGGTGTAACGTTAACATCAGCCTAGAACATATACTCCGCCACTGTCCCCAATACATAGATGCATGAAAAAGATTAAAAATACCCGACAGCATTCGGTATTCGCCCCGCTAAATAGGAAAACACGCCGCGAACCTTTTCTTGAAGATATATTTTACCGTATATTATGTATGTGTTAGACAGTATATATTTTATATGTATTGCATATGCAGTATGTATTGTATGAATATTTTATATACAGTATATTGTATATGCAGTATATATTGCATGAATATTGTTTATACAGTATATTTTGTATATACAATATTGTATATGCAGTATATATTGCATGAATATTGTTTATACAGTATATTTTGTATATACAATATTGTATATGCAGTATATATTG